CTTAAAACACTGGTTTTGACACAAAATTCCAAACAGATGCCTCAGGGACAAGTCTATATTTCTACTTTTCTAGTCTTCAAACAAAATCAAATCAAACTAGGCGGCTCACCAGCACCTCTATTTTATCCCATGGCCTCCCTTCCTTTCAAACAACACCCACTAAAATATTGGAGGAAAAAGGGAAGTCAACTTCGACTTCTTAGGATTAATCTGGGATTTGATCCTATCAAATATCAATTTAATCTTAAAAAATTGAAACTCTGTAAGGACAATCGTTTCTTCCAAGTTTCTTTTGGTACTACGTTGCAGGCGTTGTCTTTGACTACGTTCGGGTACGTTTTTACTCTTCTTCGAATTCATTCTTGGTTTTTCTTCTTATGTTTTTTATTCTTTGATGGGTGATTGAGAGACTCACTTGGGAAATTTTGAACTCAGTGGAAAAAAAGGAGGAGATGAGGAGGGTAGGTGATGAGGCTGCTGGTTCATGGCGTTTTGGCGTTGCTGGTGTTCTTCATCCTGATTTCAGGTATTCGGTTTTCTTCAATCAGTTCGTTTTCAATATGGGTTCGTCTTTTTCAATAACCTGAATCGAAAATCTTTCGAGGGTATTTCCTGATTTTGTGTTTATGAATTCTGAATAAGTTTTGCATTTTTTGAGGATGATTTTGAGTTGTGCAAGGAAGATTCTTCTACTTACTATCGCTGAATTTCGGTTATTTACAGGCGCCGTCACCGTCGGAAATTCACCGGACACGGACAGGGAATCCCTGCCCTGTCTGAAATTATTCCTTGAAGACAGAACCCAGTGAATCGAGGGAGGTACACGGAATGAGTCAAACGACTTCCAATCCATTTCGGAAAATGGGACTAGGGTCATCGGAGTAGACCTTTCGGAAAGCTATATCACCGGTCAGATGTTCAATAGTTTCTCGTCTCTTTCTGATCTTCAATACCTGACCTCTCAAAGAACAAAATAAATGAAGTGATTCCTGATGACTTGCAGAGATGCCACAATCTCGTGTACCTCAACCTGTCTGATCGCCTTGAAGGAGAACTGAACTGTCCGGATTAACTAAAATGGAGATCCCTGATCTATCTATGAATAGGATTTCCGGTGAGGTTTAGTTCAGTTTTCCTACATTTTGCAATAGGTTTGTTGTTGCCAATCTTTCTGATAATAACTTCGGAGGTAGGATTGATGATGGCTTTGATGGGCGCCAGAATCTGTAATATCTGGGTTTGAGCTCCAATAATGTTGTTGGTGGATTGTGGACTGGATTTGTTAGGCTTGTGGACTTTTCTGTTGCTGATAAATAATCTTTCTGGTTCAATTTCTGAATCAACTTTTTGGGAAAATTGTAGCCTGCAAGTTAGGACTTGTCAGGAAACAATTTCAGTGCTGAACTTTCAGGGAAGATGTCAAATTGCAAGAATTTGGTTGACTTGAATTTGTGGGGAAACAATTTTACAGGACTGATTCCGGCAGAAATAGGGTCCATTTCAACTCTTGAAGGGTTGTTCTTGGGGCGCAACAGTTTTGATAGGGTTATTCCAGAAACCTCTGTGAATCTGCAGAATTTGGCCTTTCTGGACTCGGACAAGAATGAATTTGGAGGGGATATACAAGAGAAAACCATGGTGCTCGTGAAGAAGATGACTCTGTATCAGCATTTGATTGGAAAATTGCAGTGTCGAGTTACTATTGTGGACTGGTATTGGGGCTGAGTCTCGGTTACATTGTGTTCACAACAGGAAAACCATAGTGCCTCGTGAAGAAGGTAGAGTTATTTCAACAGAAATTTGTTCAAAGGTGCAACCGCAGGCATAAAAGAAGAAAAAACCAACAATGCAACTAATGCTA